AAAAAAAAAAAAAAATTCCCTAACGCACAGAGAAGATTTGTGGTCGATCCAAATTAGAAGAACAATACACGTGAATCCTCAAGACATTTAGTCTCTGTCTTAAAAAGACTCTAGAATGATCTCCGAGTTTGAAGCAAAATATGCACCCATACAAGTAAAATGCTTGCTAGCTCCTGAAGCAATCATATAAAACTAAACAAGAAAGTTAAAAAAGGAGTCCATTGTACATGTGGATCTTAACAAGCATACATGAAGTTCACTAGGAAGAGGCCTACCCAATTATACACTATAAGTTGTATTGAAAATCTCCTCTGAGTCTGAGCTGTATGGCTTGATTGCAGCTGCATGACAAAGGTCAGAAACGAGCTGCACTTGTGGCTTCAGCTAACCATTTAATTGACTTACAAAGTTTCTTGGGGTAGTGGTGAGCGAACTGTTGGCTCATTTTAATATGAACTCAAGTTTATATTTTATTTTGCATTTTTATTATTTATTTCTTATTTTATCTCTTGATCTCTAGATATAGGCTGGGTAATGATATGAACAAAATTAAATGTGCTTGAAGAAAATTTTAAGCCATAAACTACCTTACAGTCTTTTGAAACTCATATAACTTTTGATCATTTGTATTTTTACGTAGACCAAAAATCATCTGTTAACTAGAGCAGGCAGCAGGAAGGATGTGCGTCACTTGGAATTTGAAGCTGTTTCATCTGTAAGTCGGATCAAGTATTCTCATGTTGGGTTTATTATCATTTTCCATTTATCCAGAGACTTTCATATTATTTTAAACGTCTCAACTACCTTTGTTCTACTAATTATTATTTTTCATTTGCAGTCAATAAATTATGACGTGGGTGATGTTCTCGAGATTCTTCCTGGCCAAAGTCCTACTGCTGTTGATGCGTTTATACAGCGTTGCAATTTGAACCCTGATTTATACATAACTGTAGGTAGTCTTATTTGAAATATTTATGCTAGTTTCCTTTCGTTTGGTATCACATTGTTGTGATCCTAACATGTTGCAACTTTCTTTTTGTGGGCATTATTATATAAGTGGCGAATCTGATGAAACTTTCATTGATGCTATAGTGGATGTAAACAAACCCATTCTATCGCTTGTGATTGACAAGGAATTAGGTTTTCCTCTGCGATTTGTAGCTCTTTTTTCCTGAGATTTGAATTCGAACTTTACATACTATTCTATTCGATGTATTCCTTTTCAGGTTCAGCATAGAGATGAAGCGAGGTATGGCTTTCGGGATCTTTCTATGTTCCCTGTGAAGCTAAAATCGTTTGTTGAGTTAACAATGGATGTTGCATCGGCTTCCCCAAGGCGTTATTTCTTTGAGGTACTAAAGACACTGATAACTTGCATTTGCTGTATTCATTGGGTAGTCGTGCTTTACATATTTAATCCATTAAATCAAGATTGTATTGAAGACATTCATGGGTGCATAATAATCTAGCAGTTGAGAAAAACCTCAAAACTTGGAGTTATGGTGTTACATAATTTACTTTATCTAACTAATCATAGTTCAATAAGTAGAAGGTGCAACGGCATGTAGTTGCTTATCTGTATTGAGAAATGAAATGTATTTATTGTCATATGTCAGACAAAGTCAGATTTTTTGATTTATTTGTTTTATTGACTTATAAGTCCGGATATACTTATTACATTATTCATCCAATCATGTAGATACCAGAATGTGGTCTAAATTGTTAGACTATAGAAAAAATGTTGATATTTCCTGTCAACTTACTAGGTTTTGACATCTTAATCAATGAACATTTTCATTGTGTCTATGTGAAGAATAGTTGTCCTAATACCTAAACTTCCTTAGGTCATGGGTCATTTTGCTACCGCTGAACATGAAAAGGAGAGGCTGCAATATTTTGCCTCACCTGAAGGAAGTAATGATCTTTACCAGTACAATCAGAAGGAAAGGAGGACTGTCCTGGAGGTGATAAGTTTTATTTATTTATTTTTCTTGGGGTTCTGGCCTCTATTACAGTTTTACATTTGTATTTTTTAAACTGAAAATAAAGGATTTATAATGTAGGTTTGTTTTATCGCATGAGGAGTGGTAATAGTGTGGATCTTTTACGTGGCAATTGGCATGATGTTTGAGGAAAACTGTCGACTTTTATAGTGACCTTGTTTAACATATTGCTTATGTGGGATTTTGGAAAGCCCTCACTGTCATTTATATAATGTTTTAGCTTTTCTCATTAGCTTCTGTGTGAAGGCCGAATATATGGATGTATTCCTTTGTAAAGTGAACGGAAGACTTCCAAAAGCATCTATCTTCTAATCAGATATGAATAGGGTAGTTTTCAGTATTGGATGCTTTGTAAGTTATACCTCTTTAGGATTCTTCTTCCCCTGCATCTTCTTTTTCCATTCATTTTCCTTTCTTTTTTTTTTGTCCTTTTTTCCCCCCGACATTCTTTTTTATAAATTCCGACCAAGTTCTCGTATAATTGCCTGATTCATTTTCTCGTCTGTTTAATGTAGGTACTGGAGGATTTTCCTTCTGTGCAGATGCCGTTAGAATGGCTGGTACAGATTGTCCCCCCTCTGAAAACAAGGGCGTTCTCCATTTCCTCTTCTCTTTCAGCTCATCCAAATCAAGTGCACTTAACTGTTAGCGTTGTATCATGGACAACTCCTTACAAGAGGAAACGTGAAGGCCTTTGCTCATCCTGGCTTGCCAGTCTCGATCCTGAGCAAAGTAAGTCCTTTACTATATGCCAGTGTTTTATTATAATTATCAACTGTGAGATTAAGCCAAAAGCATTTGACTTGTTTTACAACAACAACAACAATAAAGCCTTTTAGTCCCATTTGACTTGTTTTAGAATTACAATAATCTGCTGAAGTTTGTTCAGTACCAACTAAGCTTCTCAATAGGTGCAATTGTTATGTGGAGGGGTTTTATTGTAAAAGAAGTCTTTTTGTTGTGACAGATAATTAGAAAATTTGCTGAAGGTTTGTGAAAGTAAACCAAATGAAGTTTCAATATCTTGAGGGTTGTTTCCATCTTATTTTCTCCCCACTCATAAGCAGAAAAACGTGTTAATTAGCCATAGAAATTGCATTTATTCCCTATATTCTATGACTGAATAAAACCTCATTTTTTTCACATGTCTGTTTTTTCTTTTGGTAGTAATTTTGAAATTTCTATTTTTGTTTTTCAAATATCCCAAACCTCAAAGGTAAATTTTACATTTGTTCATATTTATTATAATTATGGTGGACCTCAGAGTGGGAATTTTCTTCTATGGTACTTGTACTGAGACATTTCAGGTTTGTAGCTGAAAGTTGACTTCGTCTTGTACTGTTTAATAAACGTTAAACAGGAGTTGTTATACCCGCATGGTTGAGTAAAGGTTCTCTTCCTGCCCCACCAGCATCACTTCCTCTCATTCTCGTGGGACCTGGGACTGGATGTGCCCCTTTCCATGGATTTGTCGAGGAAAGAGCCTTGCAGGGAAAAACTATTCCCACGGCCCCAATCCTTTTCTTTTTTGGCTGTAGAAACCAAAGTGATGACTTTCTGTATCGGGATTTCTGGTTTTCACATTCAGAAAACAATGGAGTACTTTCTAAAGACAAGGGTGGAGGATTTTTTGTTGCTTTTTCGAGGGATCAGCCGCAGAAGGTGTACGTACAGCACAGAATGAGGGAGTACCGTAAGAAGATATGGAGCTTGCTGACTCTTGGTGCTGCCATTTATGTTGCGGGGTCCGCTAACAAAATGCCTTCGGATGTTTTATTGACATTTGTGGAAATCGTTTCGAGTGAAGGTGGGGTTTCCAGAGAGGAGGCTTTGAGGTGGATTAGGGCGCTCGAGAAGGCTGGCAAGTATCACGTTGAAGCCTGGTCTTCTTGAGTTCCATTCTGGATTTTTGAAAGATACTAATTGGCATTGGTTTTCAAACTCTTATCAGAAGGATAAAGTTGCAGCCTACAGTATAACGGGCTGAAAGTTGTTAGGGAAATATTAGAGGTTTTAGGTTATAAGATGAATCTGCAAACTGTTGTGTTGTTGTTTTTATTTTTTATTTTTTGAACTTGATTAATTATAAGTGATTCAGTGACAATATTTTTGCCCCATTCCATAAGTTAAAGGATTTTCTGTAGTTTATTTTTTGTCCTCATTTCATTTTGTTGGTACCAAGTTTGATGGGTGCATCAGGGTTTGGGGTGTAAATGCATTATCTGGAGGAATAAGGAATCAACTTTGAGTTCTTTTCTTTTTTTTTTTTTGCTAATACAAGGTCATGGTATTGACTCTTCTGTAGTTAATGTTATATTTTCATGTTTTTCATCTGTTGTATACCAATAATTGCCCTGCGCAGAGCACCTCATATCCATCTTATAGTAGCTGTGTAAAAGTTGAAGGTAAACTGAAACATTACATGTAGGATTTGAGGCCAATGATGTTATTGAGAAAGGAGAAAGAATATCATTTACATGCGAGCATATTTATTTTGTTCCCAATTGGTATACCGTAATCATGCCATCTCGCTACAGTCAAACTCCACTTACTGGTGCAGCACTATGAACTGAGAATAGCATTCAGGTAGTTTGAGTTTCTACTGAAAATGCCGGTTTTAGTCCCAGTTTCAATGTTTGAAGAAGCGAAGTTCCTCTGAGTTTCAGACTCGTATTGTGTGGGGTATGTTGATGGTGGGACTCACTATGACCATCCCACTATTCGGCTCTTGGCTGCAGTTTCGACTTTCAACATCTCTGTAAGTGTTTCTTGCTATTAGTCACTTTGAAAGTTCTTAACTGCTTTTGGAAAATGCTGGTGTGCTGGAATAGCCTCAAAGCCAAAGGTGGCACTTTATTCATTTGATGTGTGCATGTGTAATTGTTCGTCCTTCTGTTTTACCTGTGGTATTTGCTTGATGTCAGATAATATGATTTCTGGCTGGGAATATTTGCCCGTCCAAACTGTAGCGACTTTTGCACTTTGTACACTAAAATTGGATTTATATTGTAGCCTTTTATGCTTTTTGTTGGAAATTGTCCTCTTGGCAACCAAATTTTGACATGATAGGTTCAAGTCAAAATTACAAATTACCGTCTCTCTCTCTCTCTCTCTCTCTTTCTCTTGTGTGTGTGTGTGTTTGTTTAGAAATTGCACCCACTAGTTAACGTGGTACTAATTGCAAGAGCAACACAAATTACAAGAGGGCATATATGTTACTTGTGCTTTTAGAAGAAAACTGAATCTTGTCGTATTTAGGCTAAAATATTGTGATAAAATATGACAAAGGTCTGTTTAGTTATCTGTTAATTATGTTCTGGTTTACCGTATTTGAGATATCAAAGACTTCGTCATGGTCCAGTTGAAGAGTGATTCCATTATGTTTAGCGATTTGCTTTAATAAATTTTGTCTGCTTTCCAAGCTTGGTTGCTGTGTCGAAAATCTCTGTATCATCTGAAAGAAGAGAATCCATTTTAGAATTTCTTTACATTAACACAAGTCCTTCAACATGAAAAATGATTGACATTAGTAAAAAAAAAAAAAGAAAAAAAGAGGTACCTTGGGATAAACCGTGCAGTTATTTTCTAATTCCACCGAGCTTTTGGCGAACTCTTTACCAAACTTGGATGTGAATAAAACACGAATCTCTTGCAGCTCTGGGAAATCCGCACACCTCGAAGCTGCGAAGATTAAGGTCGATACTGTCTCTTTGAGCTCAGCAGGACATTCCCTGTAAGGGAGAATGTTAATACATTCTGAAAATTTCTAATGTATATGTTCTAACATGGATTTTGTTTTATGGACATGCCAAAGTTTGAATTAGCTTTGCATCTTACCAAAGCTTAAGGTTATTAAGATGCATAATGTTATGTCAAAATAACAAATGAAAAAAACCACTTTTTTCAATGAGTGAACACATGATAATCTTGAACAGAAGCTAAAAGGCCCAAGGGTGAAGGTATAACCTGCTATTTTTGACCATCTCAGCTCTCTCCACCAAGAGATAGCAGTAGTTCTCAATCAATACATATGCATCTAATATATTTTGCTCCTTGATGACTTGCTCAACCTATTATTTGATATAAGAAAAATTGAAAAACTCCAATCAAATTTTAGCTTCCGAGTAAAAGAGTCGAAGCACCTGATTATGCCTTTTCTTGTTTTTTTTTTTTTTTTTTTCCTTTTAATAGATTCAACTTACACGGACAATGGCTTGATTTTGGTGACCTAGCTTCAGTAGCTGAATCACATCAGACTCGGCTTGGGAGCACTTTACAGTGTGAAGGTTTTTGATAATGGCAATCCTGGAGATAGCAAGACTGGCTAGCATGTTCAATTTTTTTGCGGTTTTAGAGCTTCTGCTGAACAGAGCATTGATTTTTTTTCCCATGCTTATGCTTTTTGCAGATATCTCGGGTTAGCCTACAGAAGAAGCTCAGAGGACTGTTGGCAATTGTTGCATGCAGAAATAATATCTCTTGGCAAAGAGGTTCGTTTGTGTATGACATTTTTCTGGTATTTATAATTATTGGTTTTGAAAATTCAAAATGAAGCTCCAACCAAGCTTGATTTGTTCAAGTCAAATTAGCAGTTCAAGATACGCTGCTGCTAATAGTAATACTTATACAGGGGTCCTTTTTGTTTGGGATTTCTTTCTCATATGTTTATGATTTTTGCTACCACAAATAGCTTTGACCCTACTGACATGTAGTATATGTTTTTGCCTTTGAATTATTATTAGTAGTCCGGCCAATTTTTGACTTTTTCTTTGTTTTCTTCCCCATACCTATTGTTTTTAGAGAAAATTGATCGAGTAATATTCAAAAGCCTGACCCCTTCTCAACTTAAATGATTGCTCTTTTCTGGAAATTTTAAAAATAATAATCCCTTGGAGTTTAAACTTGGTCAGCGTTGAGGTTAATAAGTCATGTTATTACTGGCCTTTGTTAAAAGGCTAATTTACATATATACTACAATTTTAAATCGTCTTTTTTTTTTTTTTTAAATACAAACTTAAAAAAATAATAATCCAATTTTACATAAACAATATACTTTTATTGTAAAGTTACAAACTATTACTTCTTTAAATTTACCTTAAAGTTTATTTATAGTTTATATCATGTTTAAAGTTACGAACTATTACTTCTTTAAGTTTACGTTAAGTTCATTTATAGTTTATATCATGTTTCTATTATGAGATCTTGGCTAAAAAATTTCTAGTCGTATCAGTGTTTTTCAACTCGGACCGGTCTGACCCGGGACCCAGTCAACCCGGAGCCGGAACCTGTCCAACGGGTCGACCCGAAGCCAAAATGGTCCGGGTGGGCTTTTTGGACCGGGCAACAAAAGACCCGGTCAAACCTGGTCAAAACCCGACCAACCCCGCCTTGACCCGGCCGACCTGAGGCGGGTCTGGGTCAACCCGGTTGACTCGGTTCCTATATATATATTTTGGTTTTTTATTTTATTTTATTTTTTTAAATAAAATTATGTATATATATTTATATGGTAAATATTTATCATGAAATAATCTACAAATTTTACATACAAAATATTTAATTTTGTTAATTTTATGTATATTTATGTGACAAAATACTCTATATATAATTATAATAATTTTAAAATAAATTATCCAGTTCAACAATTGACCCGATGACTCGGAGACCCGCCCTATAGGGCCGAGTTTAAAAACTATGATTCATATATAAAACATAAATAATTGGGTCCTCCAGGGCCGAGTTTAAAAACTATGATTCATATATAAAACATAAATTATTTCCAAACGCCAAATAAACATTGAAATCTTACACCAGATAAATAAATCAAGTAAACAATGAAATCTTACACAAGATAAATAAATCAACACGTAAAAAAATTTAAGGCATCATTAATATAGTGAATTGGGCTCCTGGTGGACAGTCTGTCCACACGATGGTTACCAAGTTGGACATGACAAATTTTCACAGTGAGCCCACTTGAGGGGGTGTGTTGTTGAACTATAGTGTAGTAATAGTTAGTTGTAGGTTGTTTATGGATTCAACTAGTTTTTATTTGGTTTGTTTTTTAACTATAGTTAATTTTGAAAAAAGGTGGTATAGTTAGTTGTTAGTGAATATATTAAAATAATATGCAAATAAAATAATTAAAGTTGATTTGATTGTAAAGTAGGAGAAAAATGATTGGAAGTGATATAGTCAGCGGCGGATCCAGAAATTTTCACCAGCCAGGGCAAAAAATACTTCGAAAAAACTTTTAACCATATTGCACAAAATACTTATATTAACAATTAAATAAATCGTTGAAATAATCGGGTATTGAGGGGTTCCCTATTTAATTTGCGTTTGACTTGATGCTAAAAAATTAAATTGAGAATGAGGTATGGTTATTTTATTTTGCGTTTTTATTATATATCATTAAGAAATATACCAAAAATATTTCACAATCCTTTTTCTTTCATCTTTTGTAATAAGAAATAAACAAGTCATTTTGAAATTTAAGAAAAGCCTAAATGTCATCACTATTGTTGTTGTTTTTATAAAGTTTTTCTTATTAATTGTCTTCTCATAGATAAATGTATAGTTTTTCATTGTTAATTTCCAACGCTCTGTTATTCTATATGTGAACTCCTAAGGATTCGAAATAGTCCATACAAATATTGATCTTTATCCAGAACTTTATAATTTAAACGCTTGGTAACTTATATTGTAAATATATTATAAAATTCAATAACATTTGTATATATTATCATTTTTTATATATGATAACTTAATTAGTCATATTTTGACAATATGTAATTTGACATTCATATTTTATAGGTAAAATTAAAAAAATAATTATACCTATCTGATCTATATAAACAAAACTTTAAATATTTATCAATTATAATTGAAAAAAATAAATTTATGTATCAAGCTTATTATATGGCATAAGTACTAAAAGTGATATATTAATGTAATATCCTCGTATCTGGCCGGTGAGGTATATCAACTTAAATAAAAACAATAATGTCATTTTATAAAAAATATTTAAAATTTTAAAATAAAAATTTGTATTTATAATTTTTACACATATTAACTATAAATTTTTTATTAGC